GATATGCCCCTCTTGTTTGTGACTGGGATGCCGAGGATCACAAAGCGGGTGTGAATTACCATGCAAATTTACATGGTGCCTTCATTGTTACGATCACCTATTCGATGTGCCGGTAAACCACACACGCTCCACGAACTATGATAAACAATGAATCACCCTCCGCCACCTTCGCTTAGAACCAATTAGTGTGCCGGTAAACCACACACGCTCCACTAACATCTTAGCAAGGTGCAAAGTGTAATTTCATGGAATTGCATCAATTCACTTTTCCTAAAGTAACTAAGATTGGGAAATTTAAAAAAATTTAGTTACTTCGTATTTCTTATTATACTTTTAATGAGAGGATGAGGTTGCCCTATCCTACCCGTTCGGCTAACGACCCTCCACCAATCAAGCAAGCGGTGGGTGTGAGTGTACACCCATTAAGCGCCATTTTATAGGCCGCAACCTTATACCCACCTTATAGATCGGCTTCGTGAATGAGGCCTACTAGCGGTAAGACTAGCATTTAGTTATACATATATATATTATTCTAATAATGTCATATAAGTATAGGGTTGTATTTAAACTTTTCAAAATCTAGGGTTTGAAATTTAAGTTGTCTAAATTAAAGCTTTTAATCACAAATTTAAATTTCAAAACTATAGGGTAGGTTTTAAACATTTAAAAAACATGGAGGATCAAATAACAAATAATTTCAATTAACAATTAATATCTTAATTATCTTTATTTGATTTATCTTTGATTTCTTTGAAGATAATTACCAAAAATAATTAAAACAATTAATTAATTATCATATAAAGAAACTAAATATTTAATTAGTTGATAATTACCTTTAACTAGATCAATACAACACTTATATTTATCAAAAAACGGATTCATATTGATCTAATTAGTTTATGGTAAGTTTGGATAAGATAAACACAAAGAAATCCCGAATCTGGCCTTTCCTGACGCTTGGACTCGCCGAGTACACAAATGGACTCGCCGAGTCAGGCCTACTCGCCGAGTCCACTTTGGAACTCGACGAGTCAGTGACTCAAAACCAAAAAATCGAATTTTGCAGGTTTGTTTCAGTTATACAAGCAACAATTTGTAGAAAACCAATCTAGGCTCTGATACCACTGTTGGGTTTTAGCCATAAGAACTTTCCTATGTGCGCATGCAAAACCCTATTGCTTGGATCTAGGCTTTCTATCAAACATGCTTTTGAATCCAAGACTTCTAATGGCTAATTAGGTTAAACAATAACATTAATACAGATCTAGAATCATACCTTTGAGTTCCTTGTTGATCTTCTTGTCTTGGAGCTTCTAGAGTCACAATTGTCACTCCTCTGATGGTTCACAAACACCAATAGCAAGCAAGATGATTTAGGAGAGAGGAGAGGGGATGGAATTCGGCCAGAGGTTCCTTTCTTTAGGTTCTGAAAGCTTGTACACGAATTCCACACCCCAAGGGCCTATTTATACCTTTAGACTCCTTAAGGGTTTCACCCTAAACCCTAATTGGATAATCTTCACTTAAGGCTATCCAAATCCATTCCATAGATATCCTTATGGACTATTTTGAGCTATCCTAAAGCTCTTAGAAACCGTCCAAAGTCCATCCTAATGGATTTATGGTCCAAAGTCTAACTATCAAACAATTGACAGTTTATACCCTCTTATTTAATTAATCTCTTTAAGTCACCAAATTAATACCAATTAATTTATGATTTATATTAATCAAATAGCTAAATATTATTCCTTATAATATTTACTCTCTCTTAACAAATCATCCTTCAAGTTGCTATGGTGAAGGCAACCCAAAAGGACCATGCACCACCGAATATAGTTATAGCCTTAGACACTATTCCAACAGGTTGTTCTTGGTTTTCCGGTTAAGCTACACTATACACACAAACACACCAAAAATAGAAACACATCCATCCACACTTCTGTTTGCAAGCATCCAACCACCCTCCTGGTGGCATACGACGACGACAACATACTCACGAAATGGTGGCAACAACAGTGTTGACAACGACAACCACCATGCTCAGCCGCTATGGTGGTTCTTCTCAGTCACCAACACGAACACGAAATGTAACACACACACAAACACGTCCACAACTTCCTCGCAACGACAAGCAGTGATGGGTGACGATCAGAGCAACATAAAGGTTACTTGGTGGTTGTTGGTGTCTCTCGACTTCATCGTCAGATGATATAACAATTGCCCCCATCTCCTGCCGATCTTCAATGCTTCTGTTTATGAGGACTACCCATTGGTGCTAGGCGGTCGGAAAGATGAACGAGGTGAATGGTGGTAGCGGCGCCAAAGACGAAGAAAGAGAGTGGTGGCTGCATTCCAACTCCTATGGTTAGGGTTATGGGACATTTATACCCGACACCCTTATAAAGTTCATTCCATAATGGCATAAATGACCCTCCCTCCAAAAATAATTTCAAATTCACTCCAATATTTACCCTTTAAACCCCGACTTCTATAATTCTTCTCATATTAGGTCCTACAGTAACCAAACAACCCCTCCTTTACAAATTGTTTTCAAATGAAGTCCATATGTTACCATTCAACCCCTATGCCTCCAAAATATCTTCAAATTAAGTCCCAATAATTTTACCAAGTAGTCCATGCCTTCATAAATATTTACAAAGCCAATCCGAAACTTACACTTTTAACCCTCGAAACTCTAAATCTTGTTATTCGACTCCCCGAAACCAACACCTCGATAATTATTTTGGATTTTAGGGCTACTATTCATCCATTAATTTTATTTATTTATTTATTTATTTAATAAACGGGGTGTTACAGTTTGGGTGTTGTTGCTTTGGGGGAACTCACTAAACTTCGTGCTTATAGTTTTGGTTTATGGTTTCAGGTACTTTAGTAGATCGTGGCAAGGTGAAGACGTGGCCATACACATCCTCGCATTTTGAACTTATGATTTTCTAATAACTCTGATAATGTGAATGTTTTAGAAATTATGTTGAAAGAGATTATGATTTTTAAATAATGTTCTGGGAACAAAGGTTTTTGTAAATACTTCTATTTAAAAAGGGTTGTTTTGGAAAGTTTAAAATTTTGAAATTTTTGGGATGTTACAAGAGAAGGGGCCATCCTGGTCACGATGATCTTTGTAATGCATTTATAGATGACATTGAAACAAGATATAGGGTGAAAGTCCTTCATAGTATTAGGGACTTCCACCTTTCGGAGGAGGGACCGAGATCGTATGATTGGCAGCTTGTAAAAGTTTTCCAGTAGGAAAAAAATCTTTGACTGCTTTGCACACTTCTTTCCGTACTAAGTGCTATGCCTTTTTAAAATAAAGTAGAAGTAAACCCATCAGGTCCTGGTGCTTTATCATTCCTAATATCAAACATGGCCTGTTTGATTTCTTCATCTTCAATTGGTCTAACCATCTAGTCTGCCTCCTCGTTCGTTAAGGTATCGCTGAAAAGGTTGTTTGGAGAGACTAAAGGACCAACATCTCTAACCTTCCCAAGGAAGTCAGAGAAATGAGCAACGACAATATCAACAACCTTATCAACCCCATGCACCACACCGTCCGCATCAATGATGGAGTTAATTTGATTTATGCTTTGTATTTCTTTAATGACTTTATGATAATATTTAGTATTACTGTCTCCTTTAAGCCAATTAAGTTTCGCTTTTTGTATTAGGAGTCATTCTTCTTCACATAAGGCTTTGGGGAATTCTTTCAAGCACACTGCATGCTCAACATTAATCTCTTCATTATAATCACAAAAAATAAAAAACCACACCGATTACATATTACTTTTGCAATTTCTTTAAATGAATTTTTGCCTGACTTTTTTTTAAACTAAATTATAAAAAGAGCATAGACGAAATCTTCTCTAATAAATAATTTAGAGTAAATTACACGAATGGTCCCTATGGTTTGGGGTAATTTACATGTTTGGTCCCTAACTTATTTTTTTAACTCGGAAGGTCCCTAATGTTTGTTTTTGTCATGTGCTTGGTCGCTACTATTTGGTTTTGTTACGCGTTTGGTCCATGTCTTACCTAAAAAGACTATTATTTAAATAGAAAAAAAATGATGAGGTATGTAAGGTAAGGTGAGATAGATGAGGTTGAGGGTGTGTTTATTTAAATAAATTAAAAAATCAAGGGCAAAATAATCTTTTTAAGTAAGACAGGGACCAAACGAGTAACAAAAACAAACAGTAGGGACCTTTCAAATTAAAAAAATAAGTTAGGGACCAAACACATAATTTACCCTAAACCATAGGGACCATTCGTGTAATTTACTCAATAATTTATTTTTTTGCTACTTGTCAAATTCTCAAAAGTTTTGTCACATGTAATTTTGTGGGAATTTTAGAATTATTATTTTCCACTTGTTATTTTTTAAGAATTTTCATTTTTTAAAATAAAACTCCACAAAATCCTAAGTTTTATAAGGAAAGATAACACTTTTATTAACTAGCTAATAAAGTTTCATAAATGCTCAAAAGAATATTTGATTTCTTTTACAAATGTTTCAAAAGATTACATTATATTATGTAAAAATGTTATTTTATAAAATATTTAATGTTTAAATATTTATGTTAAATTTATATTTTTAATAAACCCGTATAGTACATGGGTCTCACAACTAGTTATAAAAGATAAGAATGTCGTGTGATCCAGGAACAAAAACACAACAAAATTCAAACTTAATAACAAAATTTTGCAAAAATTCAGTACACTTAAAATGTATATTTTCTTCAACAATGATTTATTTAGTTATTCATTTACCTTAACAATTATGATACGTCGTTTTTTTAATTATATTTGTATAAACCGGTCATGACTTTTAAACTCATATAATTCTCCCGCCATTGCTACATTGCCGCCCATTTTTGTCCCGTTCTCTCTCTCTCTCTCTCTCTCTCCACGTTGATGCGGCGCAAGTTAGCATCCTGGATCTTCAATAAGCATATCTGCTCTTCTAGTTCTACAGCGAGAACCCCGTATCTCTGTGCTCTCCCGAAAGTCTTAAAATATCAAGCTTGAATGGCGGACGCCATTGATTTCTCAAAAACACAGCGTATAGTTCTTCTCGTAGACCTCAACCCATTTCTATTCCAATTTCCTAACCCTAATTACATCACCTCCATTATTGCTACCTCCAATATTCTTTTATCTTTCCCCCCTCTTTCATCTTCTCTTTTCTCCTTCAAGCTCTTCTTCTCTTCTCTCTCCTCTCTCGATTCCGTCTCTACGCTCCGCCATCTACTTCCCAGTTATTCTTCTGCTTCTGTATCCTTCAATTCTCCTTCGCAAACCCTAGATTCTCTCTCCCACACCCTTAATTCCATCTCTTCTACCAAATTGACGTATTCCCTTTCAAATGCTTCACATATAGCCAGCTCTTTGCTTCAGCTCGCTCGCGACTATGGCTGGGAGTTCGATATTGAGAATATTCCAGGTAAAATTCACTCTGATCCCATCGATGTCCGCTCAAATTTGGTTATTTTGTTGTCGCCAGTTTGTAGATCGTTGAAATCCTTAGCTGAGTTTGTGTCTGTTGATGTCGATAATGATTGCTTGATGAATTTAGATGTTTATGGTGCTAAGTTTCGTGATTGTTTTGGTGCTGTTAATGATGCATTTAATAATAAGGACATACATTTCTGTTGGGTTGACATTCATAGCCACGAAGAAGAAGAAGCCGGAAACAATAAATCCGAGCAGCAATCTGCTATTATTGGAAATGAAATTAGGAAATTTGGTTGGGGATTTTGCTCAGCTGATTCCATTGTTCTAGGTTCTGCCCTTGTTTCATTCGGGTTGATATATCCAGTTATTGGGATCTCATCTAAGTTGCTAGATTCTCCTAAATTAGATAAAAGGATCCGTGGACAGTTAAGTCTCGAGATTTTGGATGTCCATGGTAAGCCCATAGAGTGGAAATGCTGTGATCTTAATTTGCTGCATCTAAAGGCACCATCAAAGCCTAGCTCAAAAGACGAAGTTGTCAACTCTGTGAGCACATTCTTGGGTAATTTAAAGAATGGAATTATGAAGTTGCACGTCACAGCTGTTCACAAGTACACCATGTGTGAAAAAATTGAAGAATTTTCATCAGATCATTTCTTAGTTCAATCCGCAAAATCTGCCAAAAAGGAGAAAGATGGTTTAGACATTTTTTTGGCTGATAAGGTTCTTGGACAATTAGCCAGTGAAAAATCTGAGTTTTTTGAGAAGCATTCGGTTCCAACATGGCAGATTTTACTTAGTTTTCTTTATATGAAGGGTTATTGGGCTTTGTTATCCATATCAAATAACAATGGGGATTCTCACACAGGGATTCTCAAACCCTTCACAGCTCATTCCGCTGTCCTCTTGTTCTTAGATCATAACAATGCTCCTGTTCAAAAAGATGGTGGATCAAACCTGTTGATAGAGAATAAACTTTCTCAAGGTGACATTGCTTCTCAAAAAGGTACTCCTCAAGGTGACTTTGATTCTCAAAAGGGTACTTCCTCATCTGGAAAATATGTTCATTTAGCTGGTGGAAAGAGGAGAAAGATTAAAAAACACACACATCGGGACCTTACATGGAGTGCATTCTGCAAGGCTGCATATGAGTTTTTAGATGTGGACTTAACAGAGGTTTATTTTGCCAATGGCTTGAAAAAGTCAAAGAAGTTGAAGTTTCTGAAATGCTGGATGACAGAAGTGAAAAACAAGAGCTTATCTTCCAATAACATACCAGATAGATCATGCAAAATGGGTCCAGATTCAATTCAGCAAAAAGAAACAGATGTAAATGAAGATATTTCTGCAAGCCATCAAGAAAGCGATGGGCCTCTTACACTGGCTATTAGTTCTCAACAGTCAAGAATCCAGGGGGATGCTGATTTTGAATCTTGTTCAGAAACTCCAGATGCTTTTTTCAGTAGTTTGCCTATGAGAATTCAACAGGGGCTTGAATCTGATGGTGTGGACTTGAAGATAATGGCAGAGAGTTTTGTAAACTCGTCCATTTATTGGTTATCTCAAAAGCACAAAAAGATGGAAAATCCTGATGAATCTTGTTCTACTCAAGTTGCTGAAATCATACAGTTACTACTAACAGAGCCCAAAGATTTGAAGGAACATAAAGATAATGATCCAAGTTCTACCTCAAAATACCTAGTCAAAGAGTATCCTTTTATTCTTTTTATTTCTCTTACATATTCTTGGTAAATTGGTAATATATCGTTATTTGGTCTAATCTTTTCCTTAATAAACTTAAAGATACGAATTACAAATTTTGCTCCGGATGGAGATACTTCAGTCCGAATATGCAGGGAGTATGAAGGGGAGTTTGAAGACGAAGCTTGTGAAACAGATTTGTTCCCTATTGGAGATCTTCCAATACCTTGTGGAAGGAGGCTTTCATGGTGATATCAGTCTTTATGCGTACGTCGAGAAAACCATAAAAACAAGGTACTTCGTTTGTTTGTTTGATTATTTTGATAGTTACCACAGTTTTTGTATCCAAATTCTAGCGATTTCTCAGTTGCTCACCAAGTGTTTGATAATTTGCTTATGATAAATTCAATTTTCAGGTATTCACAGAATCTGGAAGACGTGGTGAAGAAGATCTACGATGAAATGGACCTGTTACCATTTGGTGAAGAAAACGAAGATCAGGGTATGATGTTGAACAGCGAGGATAGCAGTCACGAGATGGCTGCTGCTAACAAGATGATGATTCACGATTCGTTATTTTTAGAAGACGAACCATCGCATCCTCCGCTTGACGACTTCGATTTAGGAGAGACAGAAAAGGATGACGAACAAAAGTTAATTGAGGCTCGTGAGAGGAGAGAGAGGGCTAAAAGGTTCGTATTCACAGGCCGAATGCCCGATTTGCAGAGGGTTTGGGCTCCGAAGCCATTACAAACAACCAAGGTTAGACCCGTATCTAATAAAGAATCCAAAAGGAAGAAACAACGGAGGGCTGGTTATAGCGTGGTTTGTGAGACTCCGATGATAGGCGGCGGAGGAGACAAGAAAGATGAACGGGGTGGTGGTTCTAATTCTGTTTACAAAGCTTTGTTTCAAGATGACATGTGAATATTGAATGAGATCCAATCATTACTAATCAAACCAATGATGATGCTTAAGTTTGTGTTTATTAACTTCACTTGATTTTTCTTTGTAAAGTCTGGACTTATGAATTAATTAAGTTATATACCTTGGCAAAGGCTAAGTACAAAACATTCGTATTCATCTTTTAATGATAACATAATTCTTATGTGTGAGATCTTTTTGAGTAAATATTCGTTTATTGGGACCAGATTTAGCAACATACTTTACTCTTATTTGCTTTCTCCAAAATATGCAACATACTCATTACCTAAAAATTGACAAAGTAAGTTGAAAGGCTAAAAGTTGACGATTTTGTTCGTTATCTTGTGGCTCAACCTAGATTTGGAGTTAGCACTATTTTGTGGCCAAATCAAAAGTCTATCATTTTATTTTATTAATTTATTGATCATGTATACGTATCTCTGCTACAAATAAAAATTAAATAATTATGTTCAAATGTTTAATTAATGTAAGATGCTACAAATAAAAAATTAAATGATTATGTCCCAATGATTAATGAATGTGAGATAAGGTCATTATTTTTTGTCATGCAACTTAGAAATTGATTGCAATTCACTTTTGGTTTTGTAAATTCCTAATTTATGATTGACACATTTTTTAAATTTGATTTTTCCAAAAGTGATTAGTTTTCTTTCATCTTTGGTTAGCTAATTGAATATTTCAAACACATAATCCGATAATCACAATGGTCATATTCAAGTTAGGTTTTTGATTTTGTGGGATTAAGTATTCAATTTGTTATGCAAGAAAGCAACAATAAAACAACACATGCATTTAATGTGGTTCGGTCGATGTGACCTACTCTATATACATGCAGGAAGTCGGAAACCAAAAAATCTTCTATCACCAAACTATTTTAAAAATGATTATCACGTACGGCTTAGGGCCTATCGACCCTAAGCCTACTCCAAACATTTCTCACATCGGTATTTGATGTTGAGTTTCTTCACTTTGTTTCGGGTTGGGTCAACAAATTCCAAGTTACACATTAACATAATTTATGATTTTAATATTCTTTAGAGTAAAGATTGTCAAGATTAGATTTCTTACATAAGATTGTTTTCGTATTTTACAAGATTGTGATCATAAGATCGGATCACGATCGAAAGATCCTAACACACAAACTAATTTCTTTTATATGAGTTGTAACTTATATCAAATATTAACACTCAAATTCATAAAAGGAGCTGAACTTGAACTTCAAATTTTAGAGAATCATAAGACCAAATTTTTAATATTAAGTAATAAATATTTATTGTACAAGAATACCATATGTATTAATATTAAGCATCATATGTACAATCTTATGATCTTACCCATGATCTTACCATCTTACAATCATACACAAATGTTATCCTCTAACTCGATCTTGTTAGATCAAAATCTTTTTTGGATGGTAGGATCATAATATTGTACGTGTCTTACAACCAAGATCACAATTTTAAAATATGTTTGTGATTGTTATTAGTAGCCTATCCAAAATTTTATATTATCTTAATGTATGGTAAACGAGTTTTAATTTAGTTATATAAAAGTAAATAATAAATACTTATAAAATCAACTTAATTAACTGTTTGTTAATTTGATAATAGAACCTTTTTAGAACTATTATAAAATAAATTTTAATTGATCTTTTATTAAAATGTGTTGCGTATAGATTATTACTAATATATTCCATTTATAAACTGTTCCATTTATGTATAAAATTCTTTGATTTCCCTACACCTCTTTGTTTCTTTGTAATTATAATTTCCGAAATCCAAATGGAGGACTGAGGAGTCTTTGCAATCTCGTAGTCAAGTTGACATTTATAACTCAAGAAATTCTCAATCGACATCATACAGTTTGCTTTCTCCTCTAATTAAACATATAACCATGTCAACCAAAAAAAATCACCAATTGATGATGATGCTTTCTCCCAATCGAACACATACTATGAGAGCGTAAATGTTTTATGAGTGCAATGTTAAACATATGTTTTCTACGGTAGACATATATTTTATTTATGATTTAACCTGATGACTACGTTGTCTGATGCATATTTGTTATAATAGACATCCATTTAAAAAAAATGTTATCGTAAGTATTTTGTAAAATATGAATTTTCAATTGTCGTAATTTTAGTATGAAGTAAAATATCACGTTATATATTATGGATAACGTTGTGACATGTATAACAATCTTGTAATTTATAATATTATAAATGAGTCGGATATCTATTAATCTTATGGATTATTCAAAATTATATATGTTACAAAACGGGTTTGAATCAAAATTTGAAATTTATAAAAAGGATTTGGATCAAATAACTGTGAAGCACAATATTTTTACTATTTTTACTTTGTTCAGCTTTAATCCTTTCAACAAACACAATACCATCATTAATTAAGTTAGTTATACTAAAACATAACTTCATTATTTAATCTTTATTTATTAGATTTCTTTTTTAAACCATAATCACATATTTAGCTATTCACATTATTTGTTAAACATCTACTACATAATTAACTTTTTATTCAAAAACATATCACCAAAAGTATCCCTTCGAAACCTGTAAAACGATCTCTCAAATTGACTATAAATTTTATTTTATTTTCAAATTTCAACATCTTTCCACAATTGTGAAAGGGAGAGATTTTCGAAAGATATGGGGAGTAACTTGCAATTTACGAAAAGTTGGAAAGCATATAAACTCATTTAATTGATAAACTCCTCCACTTTCTCAAGTCTTTGGCGGTGGTTGAATTGTGAAAAAAGAGGGAATTCAAGAAAATTTCTTCAACATCTGGAGGGGTAACCGATTAGTGAGTGTTAATTAGGATTAAGACACAGATTTTGTAGAGAAATCATGTTGGATTCGGTTCATAGACAGAAAAAAGAGACGAAAACAGGTATATTATATTGTCTAAGTTTCATACTTGAATCTTCGAGAGAATGATTCCAATTACACCTTGTAAACAAATTCCAGTTGTTAAAACTATTCCACAATCTCTTTTTTCAGTACTGAGTGTTTAAGTAATTAGTAATCAGTAATCACAGTATTTGACAGAGATAAAGAGAGAATGAGGATGAAAATATTTCGTTTCACATCCCACATCGGTTGGAATAGAAAGTGTTTCCAATTATTTATACATGAAATGGACTTCAATTATCGCCGAGCTTGGTAACGTGAGCTTGTGACTTAAGTGAGGGCTTTAAAGTGGGATGGACTGAGATCGAGCCTTGTTTGGTTGGGTTAAGCTGTTGCAAAATGTGGTTTGCCCGCTCCAAGTTCGGAGTTGGATCGAGTGGCTTGAGCGAAGGCTTGGGCTTCTTGGTTCCTAGAGCCAGAGGGCAATGCGTTAGGCTGGCTTCACAGAGCTGCGATAACTTCTCTCTTCGAACAGTGGAAGGATAACAAATCGCTGCTCTCTTGGCTCAAATAATCAGCTTGGCTCCTTCTAATGGACTCCCACTTTTTCCTTTTTTCACTTTTTCCTTTTTTTATTTTAATAATTAGATAATATCTTGGGATTTATATTATTTCTTAAATTAAGATGATTTCTGTATTTATTAGGAATCATGTTATGGCTTCTACATTATCATAGTTATTATAAGTAATGATTTATTTATGTTAATAATTCAAAAAAATCATTTCTTTAATTATTCTGAATACAAAGGTTTAAATATAAGAATCTACAACAGGAAAATGTGTACATATGACAAGTGGTTCATTATTGATTTATAGGTGGTAATTTGAACCTGACCAAAAGGATTGATGGACATTCCTTATATTTATAAATATGAGTCTCATCTCTCATTTGACTTCCAAGTTTGTTTTCCTAAAAATCATTAAATTTTAATATTTTATCAGATTTGAATATTGCTAACATTCCTTTGAAATAGGTGTTGGTTTTTGTGAAACCATCTTACAAGTTTGTTAATTTTGAAATAAATTTATCAATTAGAGAATGGTTAAATAGTTTACTGCACCAATAAACCACCAAAGAAACCAAGAACCGGTTAACGAGATTATTCGGTTTAGGTTCAAATATATTAATGAACCGATATTATCGATTAACCATCCATGAAGACCCTTAATGACCATTTCTTTATTTTGTATATTTAAAAGTGGGTAGGAGTAATATGTGAGTTTCTTATTGTTAATATGATCCTGAAAGTTCAATCTTAGCAGCTGATGAAGTCATTCTTATAAGAAAAAATGTTGATGTGCTTTCGATCTATTAGAGGTAATATAAGTCTTGAGTGAAGAAGATTTTGTGTATAATCATTCTTTCTAGAGTTGATTACATATTTTGACATTGAGTATATTTGATTATTTCAAATTTTGTTCCAAAAAACTTTTTTAGTTTTAGTTTTAGTCCTTATTATCAGGATGATGATTAATCTACCATGAGCCCTTTTATATACTTTTTCTTCAAGGAGATGGTATCAAGAGGATTTAACACATGGTCATCTATTTAGTTTGACTCAATACTCTTATAAGCTAAACGGTAATCAACGAAAGTAAGAGAGTAACCAACTAATCCTATCTTATTATTTGATAGTATATAAATAGTTTAACTAATTTGTATTATTGTTTTTATATATCACACATGTCCCTCATTATAATTTTAATATAGACGTGTCAGTTATTATAATTTTTAACTAATTTGTATTAATTGTATTTTTTGTACAATATCAGCTTTATTTTAGCATTGTATTTTGAAAAGAGTCATATTTTAGTATTGTACTTCAAGATTCTTATTGTTTTTGAAATGTACTTTGAAATTCTTCATGTTTGTCGGTATGTGTGGCTTGATGTGGTTTAAAAAAAAAATAGTGTTTGAGAGTTATTAAGTTTTCCAAATGTTATATTGTATTATTTATGTTATTTTAGGTTGTCAACAAAATGTTTGGAATTTGTTTGTCACAGGAAGGAAATTTTACCTACTTTTATCTCAAAATTTAGAGAACCAATTTTCATGTATTGTCAATTATATCTTGTATTATTCAGAGTAAAAAGCAGAGAATGATTGAAGTTATTGATTTTGGATAAGGATTCGTAATTTGACCAATAAAACTTTCAATGTTGTGTACAAAGAAGTATCTCAAAATCTATGTT